CTCACACGGACAACTGCAACAAGAAACTCTCACTCTTAGGGCCAAAGCTATGGGCTTCCCTAGCCAGAAATCTGGAATGAAGTCCCCCAATGAAGTTGAATACAGATAAGCATAATGTTTAAACTGTGCAGGTGAGGAGAGAAGCCAGGGGTCTTTAAAAGGGAGGGTCAGCGAAGAGGATGGTCCACTGCCGTCCTGGCTGGCTCGCCTCCACTGGAATGTTCTACAGGTTCCCACACTCACCCTGCCCCACACTATCCCCCCAAACTCTTTCTCCTCCTATATACTCTTTGCTACAGATGACACCATGGGCTGCGCAAATGCCCCAGGCAGAAACGTGGGCATCATCCTAGATTCCACCGACTCCATCAGTCGACATTCCATTAGTGTACATTCCTTTCACCAAGATCCTGTGGTGAAAGGATCTCCTTTGCATTCTCCCTGCCAATGGCCTTGGTCTATTTTCCTTTTCTCCTCAATTACTGAAATTTCTTCCAGCTTTCAGTTGGCCTCCAAATCCAGAATCCCCCGTCCCCTTCTCACTTTTATTTATCCTCCACCCTGCTGCGAGGGTCCTATGTCTAATATGAAAATCTAAGCAGGTCATTCTGCTGCTGAAATTCCTCCAACAGCTTCTACCAACTTCAGGATACAAGCCAAAATCCTTCATGAAGCCTAGCATCTGGCTCTTCCCTCTACAGACCCCTTTCCCATGTGTCCTTAACACTCAAGCTATCGGACCTATTTGGCCAAGCTGTCCCATGCTCTCCCATTTGCTGTTCCCTCTGCCCTTCCCTCACCTCTTATACTTGGCTGACCTCTAATCATACTTGGGGACTCGGCTCCAGGCCTCTCCTCCTCTGGGAACTGTCCTTGACTTCCCTCCACTCGACTTAGGGCCCCTCTTGGTACCAACCCTGATCCAGAGCAAGTCTTCAAGACAAGATATTTTTCACAGCTGTGCACCTGCATCAGGCATGTTTTTTTCTCAGGTGATAGTGCGTCCCTTGAGGGTCCACCTCGGGATGCCATCAGCTAATTGCCATCAGCTAATTCTCTTCTGCCTCTGTCTCCCCAACAGCTAGTCCAAAGCCTCTCTCAGCAGGTGCTCAAAAAAGCCCACTGACTTGAATGAGGACAACACAAACCTGTTAATCTTTCTTCCCTTCTCTCTGCTTCCATGTCACATGGCCACCTCACCCGTCAACAGCCCTGGCCTTTGGATAAGTCTTCAGTTGCTGAGTCTCTACATTTCTGAGGACACGCCGCTAATACGAGGGCAAATGTGCTTATTCTACCACAAACGGGCTTCTCTTCCATATTTTCTCATCTTTCTAGGAAAATATGGAAATGTCTTCTTTTCCCCTCTTGGCCATCTGAAGGCTTTGCATGAGAGAAGAGGTAAGAGAGGTTCCACTCATGTGATGCTGAGGGAAAGGGGGATATTATCATTGAGTACCAACTCAGAGTCAAGACTTGTTCCCCTGGGAGAAGCCACAGTGACGTTTTTGCAAAGAACAAGGGCAACTGAATTTAGAAACCACAACCAGCATATTTAGTCCAAACATGTAAAAGCAGCAGCCTCCCCAGGGAATGTCAACAGGGAAAGCTTTCCTATTCCCATTCAGGATCTCACTTCTGCCCATTAATTTCTAGATGAGTAGATGATCCCATTCTTCCCGTGGCCTGAGACATTCCTCTGAGATCCCTGCCCCCAGGGCCAGCCAATCCGGGCTTTGGAGCTGACTGAAACCTTCAGAATGGCTATTTACTATAAAAGGAAAAACAAATCAAAGCCGGCAGATGATGCTGAGCCTCTGAGAGCAGGAGCTGGTCTACTTGGGAGAGAATTTAGTGAGAATCCCTGGCAGGGAGTGCTGATGCGGAGACAAAAAAAGGGTGAGATCGATGTTTATGAAAAAATAAAAAGAGCAAGAATGCTGGGCCGTGAGCTTTATTTCACACTTTTGACCCGAGAGGCACATTCCTCAGGGACAATTCATAGCCAAATCTGGCTGCTCTGTCTAGATGAAAAGGGAGAAACGGATGAACGCAGTGTTTCAGCAAGGTACGCACAAGCTGTTGGCAAGAACGATGAATTCACACTAAATTAAACTCAATTATGGTGACTTTTTATTCTTTCCCCAAGGTGTGGGGTGAGGGCTGACATGCGTCCCCTGGAGATTTGGAACTCCTCCAAATTCTACTATAGCTTCCTTGTTGTTCCCGTAACTGGGGCGTTTAAAAATTAGAAAAACAGCAATTAGCTGATGGCATCCCGAGGTGGACCAGCGAGCAGTGGGAAGGGGCTGACCCTCCAGCCAAAGGGCCTGCTCACAAGAAAAAAGAGCTGTGAATCGTGAGGAAGTGCTGGCTCTTTTTAAAAGCACTTCATCGGATTTCATATTTCATTTCTCAGAAAGTAGGAATTAAATTTGGAAATTTAAACCAGCATCTGCTCTTGGACCTGGGAATCAAATGACACCCTCCTGGGACAGGCCTGTTCAGGCCGCTTCTCCAGCACTGTCCCGGGAGGCCACCCCAGCGGTGGCCACCCTGTGAGGACCTGTCCAAGCAGGGTTGGGGGAGGGGCACTCAGGTTTCACAAACACTGGCCCCCAACTCGGGAATGCTGCTGTTTTCCGGGCATGGACCTTTCTACTGAGGATACACTTTCCCCACAAATAGAATCCTTCCTTAACTCCCATGTTCCGTCCTTCAAATATGTTTTGCCCTTTTGTTTGCTGAGGGCTTTATACTGTACATCCCAATCCAGTGCTTTAGGAGAAGAACAGTTCAATAGGTCAGCAGATGGCGGGCACACACGGGAGAGAGTCGCCCCGTCACCAGTAGCCCTCTGGCCGATAAAGAAAATCCTGGATGTCAGATCTTGTCTGTCATTTTTCTGATGGAAGAAGCTCCAGGAGACAATTCTCATCAACTCTAAAGGAAGGCACTGAAGAAGCGTAGACAGTATATGGGATAGACCTTGAACTCTGGAATATTTTGGCTTTTATTCTAAAACAGGGATAGGACATTTATGTAAATTTTCTTTCATTTATTTCTCTTTAAAAACATGCTCTCTTTACTCATTTCTCAGCTCAAAAGGCCAGCACACCATGAGCAAGTACACCTTTGCCTACTTTGAGAGAATGTCTGAGGTGTGCGGAAGGCTTCCAAAAGAAGAAAAAAAGAAAGAAAACGAAGGGGGAGTAAAAGGACGAAAGGAAGAAAAGCAAACAAACCTCTCGTACAGAGCTGTGCGACCAGCATTCCTCTCAGGGAGAGTCTGTATCCTGGTGGGCGGCCTTCTCACAGACCTTCCTCACCCTCCAATACAAAGACGAGGCCTCCTTCCCAGTCACCAGCTAGAACCACACAGGCAACTGCTTGGAAACATGCCCTCTGCACACTCCACTTCGCCTGGAAAAGTCTGGTCCGGAGCAGCGGCTGCCTCTGCCCGCCTTGGCCCCTCAGGCACTTCGCTGCCCCAGGGACAGCTGCCCTGCTGGCTAACCCAAGGCACGGCCGAGCCTCACCTGCGACCCCTCCCCTGGGCCTCAGCTGCGTGAGCACAAAACCATGAAGCATAAGATCAGAAATGGGTTTTGCTACATCTCCAAAATGATGGCACATTTCCCTGAGAACTGTGTGTGAGAGAGAGGGGACACATAGCCCCTTCATGCCCAAATGAGCCATTGTAAACGCTTTTACAATGAGCCTGTAAACACGTTTAAAGACCCAATGATATCCTTACAGGAAAACATCAGGACACGCCCCGCATGCTCTGGACACTCAGCACAGGGCCCACCGGGGATGGGGTGGGCAGCGCTTCCCACCGGCTTCATTCCATTTCCAGTCTGGTCCTTTCTTACAACTGGCACCTTTCCGGGTAGTTGTGGGTAGCTCTCTGGGCCAGGCTTCCGTGGCAGGGAGGGGACCCTGTACAGAGCCTCCTATGTCAACACTGACCCTTTTCACGGGAAAGATGAGAAACAGCAAAACCTCAGGACGACTAAAGCCAGCAAAGGGGGTGTTCTCAGAGCCTCCCCTCAGCCTCCCAGTCCCAGACTGTTTCTCCCTCCTCAGTTGTCTTGTGTGTG